GGGCAAATCTGAAGGACCGGATCTGAATGTCACCTTTGGCAAAGGATCAGAGGACCCGACAAACCGGTTCAATGTCCTACTAGATTTCGATGATGAGATGGAGACGAATGCCTCAGCGCTTCGTGCTTCGACTCCATCGAAATCCAGCCAAAATAGCAAAAGATAAATAATACAATTATCCAATGGAACATCCGCGGATTAAAGGCAAATATAGAAGAATTTCAGAATCTATCAAAAGAATTTAGACCCGCCATTTTTTGTCTACAAGAAATCATGCTCAAAAACCCAATCACGCTTAGAAATTTCTCACTCTACACTAACATTCCAACTGTAGTTAGCAGAGCAGCAGGTGGCGCAGCGGTAGCTGTCCATAAAAATATTCCTCACAGAATGATCAAGTTAAACACAAATTTACAGGCTGTTGCTGTCTGTGCAACATTACACAGACAAATAACCGTCTGTTCAATTTATCTCCCTCCGAGTATTGTTTTCACTTGTGAGCAACTCAATAATCTCGTCTCCCAGCTCCCAACACCATTCATAATCCTCGGTGATTTTAATGGTCATAATAGCCTGTGGGGCTCTCCCAACACAGACGAGAGAGGAAGACGTATTGAGGAATTTATAGATAAAAACAACTTGTGCCTTTTTAACAACAATACCCCTACTTATTTACACCCTGCTACAGGCTCTCGTACCCACATTGATCTATCATTATGCCATCCATCCATTTTACTTGACTATGACTGGAGGGTAAATGATGATCTTTGTGGGAGTGACCACTTCCCAATTTTTCTTCAGAATATTGGGACTCCTCTTGATGATCCTCTACCTCGATGGAATATGCACAAAGCAGATTGGGCCCAATTCCAACACATGTGCATTGAAAAACTAACCATAGACAATTTTACTAACCTCGACGACCCTATCAAAACTTTTACTGAAACACTCACTTCTATTGCCCAAAAGACAATTCCAAAATCCGCTCCAAAACCTACGAAGTTCCTTTTATCTGAAGAATCTTTTAAAACACGCAGTAATCGGGCAGCTGCTCTAAGACGCTACTTCAATTGCCCAACTGCTTCAAACTACAGTGAATTTAAAATTTGGCGGGCAAAGGCTCGGCGATCAATTAAAATTGACAAAAGAAACAGCTGGAGAGAATATGTATCCAAGATATCATCAAACACGTCCTCAAAAAAAGTATGGGATATGATTCGGAAAATAAGTGGGAAAAAGAAAAAGGCAACATCCTCCCACCTCATTAATAAAAACAAAATTTTCTCGTCTATAACTGAAATTGCTGATGCATTTGCAAAAAACATAGCTAAAAACTCATCCCCTTTAAACCACTCCCAAAAATTCCAGTCTTTGAAAAAAAAGAGAGAAAAGAAACGGCTCAATTTCAAATCATCAAACAAAGAAAGTTATAATGAACAATTTACCCTACCAGAACTTGTTGATTCGCTTAGAAAATCACAGGACACTGCTTCAGGTCCTGATGATATTCCATATCAATTTCTAAAGCACTTACCGGACTCTTCACTAACATGCCTTCTTTACATATTCAACCAAGTTTACGCTTCCGGAAAGATTCCCGATTCGTGGAAGAACTCCACAATTATACCTATCCCAAAACCGGGAAAGGATGCTACTGACCCAAACAACTATCGTCCTATCTCTCTGACTAGTTGTGTATGTAAAACTTTGGAACGAATGATAAACACTAGACTGGTTTGGTTTCTTGAGGCCAACGATATAATATCCCCTCTTCAAAGTGGCTTTAGAAATAGAAGAGGGACAAATGACCATCTCATCAGATTAGAGACGTTCATTCGAGAGGCTTTCGCCAAGAAAGAACACCTTGTCGCTGTGTTCTTCGATCTTGAGAAGGCCTATGATACTACATGGCAGTATGGCATCATGAAAGATCTTCACGACCTTGGCGTACGTGGAAACCTTCCCAATTTTATATCTAATTACCTATCAGATAGACACTTCAAAGTCCGTGTTGGTTCAACTTTTTCTGAAACGTCTAAACAGGAAATGGGAGTCCCACAGGGTGGAATCCTATCAGTCACACTGTTTGGACTTAAAATAAATGATATAGTCAAATGTCTTGGTCAATCAACAGAAGGGTCGCTATTTGTGGATGACTTCTTGATCTGTTACAGATCTAAGAACATGCACACGATAGAACGACAACTTCAACAGAGTTTAAACAAACTACAAAATTGGGCAGACGAAAACGGCTTCAAATTCTCTAAATCCAAAACTGTGTGCATGCATTTCTGTCAAAAACGAAAAGCACACAATGACCCAAATCTAACACTCGATGGCACTAGAATTCCTGTTGTTGAACAGACTAAATTTCTCGGCCTCATTTTTGATTCGAAACTCTCTTTCATACCACATATAAAGTATCTGAAGGATAAGTGTTCCAAGGCGTTAAACATTATACGAGTCCTTTCTCATACTGATTGGGGAGCGGATCGTGAAATGCTTTTGCGCCTATACAGATCACTTATTCGAACAAAACTGGATTATGGTTCTATGGTATACGGGTCAGCGCGCAGTTCGTACCTTCAGATGCTAGATCCAATCCATAACCAAGGGCTACGTCTTGCCCTGGGAGCTTTTCGAACAACACCTGTAAAAAGCCTGTACGTGGAAGCAAATGAACCATCCCTTTATGACAGAAGAATAAAACTTTCATTACAATTTGCAACTCAATTAAAATCAAACCCTAAAAATCCTGCTTTCAACCAAGTATTCAACCCCAAATACCAAAACATATTTACGCAAAACCAAAAACTTCTGCCAACATTTGGTATCCGAATTTTGAATTTCCTGCAAGAACTCAACATAAAATTGACGGACATAGCTGAATTTAACATATCTGATGTTCCTCCGTGGACCATTCAAACCCCCGATTTTAACTTTACATTACATGAGCGAGGGAAATCAAGTGTTATGCCCGAAGAACACAAATCCTCCTTTCGGGAATGCATTTCGAATTACCCTTCTCATACACAACTTTACACCGATGGCTCCAAAGAAGGTGAGAAAGTGGCAGCAGCCTGCTGTACTGCCAATACTTGCACTTCAGTCCGACTACCAGACGGCGCCTCCATCTTTTCTGCTGAAGCATGCGCCATTGGTTTGGCCCTCGACCATATCGATGAACACCGCATTAAAAAGGCAATTATTTGTTCAGACTCTCTATCTGTCCTACAGAGTTTACAGTTACGAGATCCTAAAAACACAATCGTACAAAACCTTGCTCTTCGAATATCTCGTATATTAAAAAAGTCTAAAATAACTTTACTATGGATTCCGAGCCATGTCGGAATAAAAGGCAACGAATTTGCTGACAGGGAAGCAAAAAATGCATTGAATCTCGAACAAACAAATATCAAACTACCATACACAGATTTTAAACCTACTATTCGTACAGCCATTCAAAATGAATGGCAGAAACGCTGGTCTCTGGAGACCAACAACAAACTTTTTAAGATACAACCGAAACTTAAAACATCTATTCCCAGTCGGAAAGATCGTAGAGAGGAAGTTGTCCTCGCTCGGCTCCGCACTGGGCACACATATCCTACTCATTCGTACCTTTTAAAACGAGAAGATATACCTTCATGCCACGCATGTGACACTCCATTTACAGTGGAGCATTTTTTAATAGAATGTTCCGATTTTAAACACATTCGTGATAACTACTTCCGAGTCCCGGATATGAAAACACTTTTCAGTTCCGTGGATTCGAAGGCATTATTTAACTATTTGAAAGACATCGGTCTATTTTATAGACTCTGATGTCTTTTAACCCACCTTATCATTTTTGACGTTATATATATATCGCATATTCCATATCATCTATTCGTTATCTCTTTTATTATTTTAACTCCCTTTTATTTTTTTTATTATCTACACATACAATGCGAATACTTTTAAAATGAACCATTTTATCTGATTTTATCTTCGCTATTCACATGTTTGTTAAAAAAGTAAAATAAATAAATAAATCACCATGGCCCTAAATGACCACAGCCGTCGATGGGCCGTTAAACATAAACAAACAAACAAACAAACAAACAAGCCTGATACCTGTGGATGTATAAAGGGGGGTAACTCGTCCTTTTCACAGGCACTTCACAATTCATCACATATGTATCAATTGTGTAATTGGTAAAGTTGATACCAAACATCAAATAGTTCACAGGCTATCTCCTTATGCATTCAGACTAGATTTCAGTCTGTTTCACTCAGTTCAGCACCCGATAAAGTTGTATTTGTTGAAAATGGGTAAAATATCTGTTTTCATTCTAATTACACTATTTTAGATGGGTTGTTTCACTTGATTCAGCATACAAATTTTAAATAAGCAAAGTCAGTAATGTCAATAAATTTTATTTCCATAACTACAGCTGAAGAAAATCTTTTTTTATCTAGCAAAATATGTTAAATAAAAAAATTCTGAGGATCACATTCAATTCTAGGTGGCACTTGTCTGATGTTTCAGAATGCTAGTTTGTTGTTGTGATGAGTTTCCTAGTGCTCATTTTGATATCAGTGAGCCTTGATGATGTCATAGATGCCCAACATTGCGTCGCAACGATGATATATATACGTTGCTGTAATTGTTTGAAAGGGTTGTTCATCACACATGCGAGGTAACGTGTGTCTATAGACGATGCCTAGACAATAGTGTTAGCTAAGGGCCAATACCACTGATGTGCCATAGCCTGGACATGGAAAATTATACTGTAGAGGTTGATAGAAATATATTACCATTAATGAAATAAGGTAAGGAAATAAAGAAAGAGGGAGGTCTCTTCAGCATTGCACTGAGAGCAGTAGTTTTTTAAGAAACAGTATAGTCATCTTAATTTGGGTTTCCCCATTATGAGAAACAGATAATTATATCCCCGTCGTACAGGATATGGGCACATGTTTTGTCTAACAATATTACCAATACGATGACACAACTTAATCAGCATGATTTTATTTGCAACGTTTCATGAATAAGGTTTTTATTCATATCCAAGAAACTGTGTTTTGCTGTTTCAGGAATTATTCTGAAATGAGAAAAGAACATGCCTTAATATAGGAATGTAGTATTAGTAATAACATTACAGTTGCCAATAGTTCGGTATCAATTGTGTGTCAGTGCTACAATTTCCACAATTTCATTTATACAACAAGATCAGTTAAGTTTAAGCTGATTTGTGGTTTTGTCATTTTACAACAGCAAAATTGCATCGATGTTTAAAAATAGATGCAGGATATACGTACAATACCGCTTGCAGGCGTCATACGGGTTTCCTTTACAACCTTGGTCACAGACACACTTTCCGTGGTCATAGTGAGCTCTGCTCCCACAATTACGTCCATTATTTTCTTGAGGGATGATAAAAGTTAATGTATTCAATTAGTAAACAAAACATTTAAGTCATGAAAGTATTGTAATAATGAAGTAATCGCTCCGATGTGAAGCATATGAATTCTGTTTTGATAATGCTGAACGATGCATTTTGCATTACAGCAGATAAATGTCAAATAAACAAAGAAATTGTATATATTAGATATTTAAATATTTAAAGGTTTAAATGTCAAAGAAGCAGATACTTTAAATAAACAAAATGTTTACTTGAGATGCTTCCACCACCTGGAATATATAAATATTATATATCTACAGAAGATGGACAATTGTAACTTTATTACGTATTAATTAGGCCTTTAAAACAAGCTGTCTGATAGCGATTCTCTGATACATTGTGAGATAGAAAAATAAACCATATTCTAAAAAACAAAGTGCAAAAGTGGACACAAAACCTCCTAAATGATTAAAGTTAATGTGTTCATTAGTGAATACAAGATTTCGATTCCTAACGATTTTTAACCATGTTAAAACTGTAATTAAAATACTGAACAATACATACGGTATCATAGCAGATCCGTATTTAAATGCCAAAGTAGCAGACAATTTGAATAAACAAAGTATTTACCTCCGCTTGAACTGCTTTCAATACCTGAAATACATAAATATTATATATCTACAGAAGATGGACAATTGTAACTTAACTTTTCAAACAAAACCAATAGCAAGTATTCATACATGGAGCATATTTATGGGATAGTTGTTCAATGTTGTAAGAGGTTTTTTCATTTAGTACTTGTTATGTAATCAGCCTTTTAAAACAAGAATCTAGGATATCATGCGAGAGAGAAATGCAACTAAGGTGTCAACAGCTGAGTGCAAAAAGACACTAAATTAAAGGATAAAAAAACCTTGTTTATCAACCTTTAACTTTTGTTCATGATATGTTTTACCGCAAATTCCTAATCTACGGTAGAAACTCTGACAGCTTATTTCCAGATCAGCAGTGTTCTTGTATTAAGAAAAATAATTCAGGAAAACTTTTTAAGCGCAAGAAATTAACGGAAATTTGCTAATATTCCTGCCTCTATGAGCACAATTTTCTGGGTTAAATAAAAAAAAAACACCATAATTTCAAATGTGTGTAATTACAAATGGACAAGGTAGACTTTCCATAATATCTTATATTGTCTAATACCAGGCGATAAGAGAATCGTCGACATGATACTGATTCAATCGCGTTATAATATATAAATGTGAAAATCTAAGGCTTAAACATGCCGCCTATATACATGTATTATGCTGCCTGGCAAAAGAGTACTTATACTTACCACTGGATGATCCGCCACTACTGCTGCCTCCATGACTAGATGATCCTCCACCTCCTCCTCCACCTGACACTGTAACGATTAACACTGAAAATGTCCTCCAACTAGATCAATTTGAAATCGTTTTGTTCCCTAGATCTTACTTAGCATATATATCTAATGGCTAAACAAAATATAATCATTAAAGATGTCTTTGTAACTATGAAACTGTTTCTTTAGTGTAATGGTGTCTACAATACCAAGACCAATCAGAATATAAATAGAGATAGGGGCTAACTCTACGAAACAATCAGGGAAAATAACGATAACGTATACATGATCAAGCAATCGAACTTTTGCTAGGACGGAAAATATGTTGGGCAATTTACCAGAATACGTACCTTTTCGACAATAGACTTTTGGATCACCTTTGCAGCCAACATTACAGACACAACATCTGCGCGACGAAACATAATGAGCGTTTCTTCCGCAGGTACCTAAACCAAAAATGACACGCTCAATGGTTGATTAATTTCTGATACAGTTAACGAATGATCAAACTCCACAAGTAACATTATTATTTGTTTCAGAAAAGAATTTTTTTTGAGATTTCTTAAATATACTTACTTCTCCTTTCCCGCCTATCTGAGCATTCCACTGCTGTAAAATATGTAAAGATGTAGTTTTGAATTTGAAAGCATTACTTTTTGTTTTCTTAAGAAAATAAAAATTAAATACCTAACATATCGCTCATGACAAATATGAAATAAAAGTAATTCTTACCATAGTTTACATCTTCATTCTTTCCTAGTTGAGAGGTTATCATTTTCAAGGCATTATTATTATACAGTATCTATGCTCTCATGTGTTTGTTCTAGAAATAATATTTGTTTATGAAAAATCAAGGTGCTAGTATATTAAATATAAATGAATCCTTCGTACTATTGTTCAAACTGATCCTCAAGATATTTTATAGTAATTAGATATTGTAAATTAAAAAAAGGTTGATTCTGAATTATTGTATGTCTGGTAAAAAGAAAAGGAAAAGACAGTATTACAACTATAAAAATAACTCAACTACCACATTATTGATACGCTTGTCCCAGAAGCCTCAAACACTGCAACGGTCATACCGTTTTAGGAGCCAATCATATACTGGAGTTCATATTCCCGTTCTTCAAAATGTTAAAATCAATAGACAATGGGTAAGCGTGATTAAAGGCATTAACAATTACAAGATTTGCAAAACATATTAGTTATAATAATAAAAACTGTTCACGACACAATGTCATGACTGACAAAAAACGTTAAATAACCAGAAACTCGGCATTCTCATCGACGTTAATAACATGCATAGCAAGTTTGTATAACAGTACCACACGCCATGAGCCTGACGTCCCAAATAGTTCCGGTTTATTGTAAAGTCGTGCAAACAAACTAATCATATTATGTCGACAGATAAACAAGATATGAAGTAATATGTTGGTCTAAAAATTTGATTCAAAAGAATGGAATGATTACCAAAAGACAATAATTAAGATGTTTTGAGTATGATTGAAAACGCATAGCTTACTTTGTGACAACAGCCTTGAAAAAATATGTTTATAGTTAAACGTATTGTAAGTTGTCAGTGTTGTGCAGATGATATAGCCACTTGTATGGCGACTTACCCACTATGACCAGCAACGTCAGCAACAAGAGTTCTCTAAGAGCAAACATCTTCTTCAGTAGTTGGTGTCCTCTCCGTGCCTGCCTGAATCCTGATGTGAATGTTCAGACCGATAGCTAACCGGTTTTATACACCCCAAACAATACTGAATGCGTGGGCATTGTTCATGTAAGTAAAATTTCAAAAAAAACACCTGTGCAATAAAATAGTTTCAACACAAAAAATCCAACAGCTGTTTTTCTTAATTCTTTAACATAATGATATCAAATGTTTAGAAGCAAGTCACACTCTTACCAGAAAATTAACATGTAAAAGCTAATATGCTAAGAAGGATTCAAGTTCAAAGAATTCAGTATTTACACATGTAAAGCTGTGACGTAAGATTAATATGGATGGAAATCGAATATTCATGAATGGATACTTATTAAGAGGTACATTAATAAAAAATGCATACGTTAAGTAACTGGTCACAAGCATCGCGTCCACTAAATGCTTACTTTAAAGGTTTTTCGTAGACCATACTAGACCTAGATCTGTTCATGCGATCGGTAGCTTATCATGGGTCTATTTTTATAAATTAGACTAAACACAACTAAAACTTGTTTGATCAGGTCGATATCTAATAAAGTAAAATGTTTTCTCATGGTCAACCACATAGGGAAACCTAAGGAAAAGACTATCAAGGTAAATATGATGTGTCCTTTCTTATAATTATTGATATTAATTTTATTTAATTTGTAAAATGGAAATGCGACATTCCGGATCCCTGTCTCATTGCATGCAAAAGAAGATAATTCCACTGTAGTTTTCCAAACATACAATAACAAACATTATTTTGATTTGTATAGCATTGTAGCGGAAATTAATGTTACTATCGATTAGGTAACTCAGTTGGTTAGAGCGACCACAACGTGATCTGAGGTATAGGGGTTTCAATTCCGGCCTAGCCCGTTGCATTTTTACTTTCAGAATATTTTTCTCTAATTCAAAAACAAAATCACTTTAATTAGTTTTTTTATAACAACTCTGCAATGCATGGATCTTTTTTTCCCAGAAAATATGCCTTAAAGCTTTTTTCGTGCTGATAAAATATTCCAGTTTTTCAGTCACAGGTTTTTGCAGTGGTGTGGTATATAAGTTTAGAACCACAATATGGTGGTGTTCACCATCACAAAACAACTTCAATCAAATTAAAGCAAAATACTTTATAATATAGATATATCAATATATACACTGTTTGTTGTCACCTTGTGTCTGTGATAGGAAAACACCTTAATAAAACAATCAAAACGAGTGCCATGAAAGGAATGTATATTTCGGGAAAAATCCAATGATTGTTCAATTGAGAAGTTGAAGTATTTGAATTTAATCTATTGTTTGGAATAAATAAAGGAGCATCTTTTTAAATTATATGTTTAATAAAACTTTTAAAAATATATTTCCTCCCCTTAAAGAGCGTGGGAATATAACTAAATAATATATTTGTGTCGACCTCCTACCATACCTACAACATCGCGATAGGAATGATTGGTCAATCAGATTTGAGAAATTGAAATGAAATGATTTGGGGGAAATCATCTGAGTTGGTAAACAGCAGTCTTAGAAATAAGTTTTTTTTAGTTATTTCGGTGTACTTTCTCCGCAACAACCAGAGTTATTGGAATAAGGTGTTCACAGATAATATGATCATCTAACGACAACCACCTTGAACAAATGATTTTACTTCGACATGGTAACACTATAACTCAGCACCATTCGATTTGTTATTCATGTATAATGTGAAAGAAAGTAATCCGAAATTTTACTGTACTGTTTCATGGAGATGACGACAACAGTTACTTTTTAAGCTCCTATTGCTTTTCTTTAAAGCAATAAAGAAAATATTGATATTAATTTTATTTTATTTGTAAAATGGAAATGCGACATTACGGATCCCTGTCTCATTGCATGCAAACGATAGTTCGTATGTACCTATACGTACATATTTGGCGTATTCATGTGAAATTCGAGTGAATTTCAATACAATTCATACTAGAGGAGTTATGCCCTTGTAATCGTTTTTTTTTGTGTTTGGGAAAAATGAGTAAATTTAAGAATCACCGTTCTATATTCATATTTTGACGCATTCATGTGAAACTTGGAGTGAGTTTAGATACAATTCATACTAGAGGAGTTATGCCCCTCTAATCGCTTTGTATTTGGGGAAAATGAGTAAATTTAAGAATCACCGTTCTATATTCTTATTTTGACGCATTCATGTGAAACTGGGAGTGAATTTAAATACAATTTATACTAAAGGAGTTATGCCCCTCTAAACGCTTTGTATTTAGGAAAAATGAGTATATTTAAGAATCACCGTTCTATATTCTTATTTTGACGCATTCATGTTAAACTGGGAGTGAGTTTAAATACAATTCATACTAGAAGAGTTATGTCCCTCTAATCGCTTTGTATTTGGGAAAAATGAGTAAATTTAAGAATCACCGTTCTATAATCATATTTTGACGTATTCATGTTAAACTAGGAGTGAGTTTAGATACTATTCATAAAAGAGGAGTAATGCCCTCTAATCGCTTTGTATTTAGGAAAAATAAGTAAATTTAAGAATCACCGTTCTATATTCCTATTTTGACGTATTCATGTGAAACTGGTAGTTAGTCTAAATACAATTCATACTAGAGGAGTTATGTCTCTGTAATCGTTTTGTATTTGGGAAAAATGAGTAAATTTAAGAATCACCGTCCAACTTCCAAACACAGTGACTTAGAATAGGAATTAAGCAATAATAACTGATTTCTGAAAAGAAATCCATAACTTGCAGAACTTTTAGGAAAGAAAAAAATAAACGTAAATAACAACTAGAGCTCCTGTGAGCAAGCTCAGGAAGATATAAACCCCGCACCATTGAATCTATGTATTCAAACTTTATTTGCAGGGGGTATACTACCCAAATTACAAATTCCCTCCTTCATTCATATTTCCCCCTATGCCTAGTAACAAAATCATCCAGAAAACGTGTAAACAATTTCTTCAGGTTGGTAAATATGGATTATGAAAAGTTCTCTTAACACAACCAATAACATATTCTATGAAACGTTTCGATGACTAGTACGATATGTTTACTGTCGCCTTCATCAGACAAATGACCAGTGAAGCGTATGCACACACAGGTGTAAAAAGTGTACGAGTTGTCAATAAAATCGATGTCGATTCGGCTACGCTGTAAGCGTTATTACAATAGTTGTTACTCGATGACTCCCGAAATTACTCGATTCAGCTACGCGTTTGTTTAATATTTGATCATAGTTGTGCGAGAGTCTTTAAGTCCCCTCATCTCAATTTAGAACTGACCCACTACGGCCTATCCAGATGGCTTCCTTTATCTGCCGCTTGAACAGATTGCTCTCTCTGTCCAGAACGAGTTATCCCAGTCAATCACATGTTTTTTTCTGTGTGGCATGGTTTGTGATTGCCAATTTATTTATCTTGGACTCCGACTTTTTCCTTTCTGATCTGTTGAATTTCCTACCTTCTTGGGTTTCGGTATCTTTCCGGTGTTCACCAAGGCGGACCCAAAATCGCCTCCCAGTCTTTCTAATATACGATGCGTCGCAGTTTTTACATCCGATTTTGTATACGCATTCTGCGACGTTTTCTTTAGGTGATTTTCCCTTAGGGTGTACAAGGATATTACGAAGCGTCTTGTGCGGCTTCATGGCTGTTGCTATGCGAATGCAGCGATATTTCCTTTGAATGGTTTCGGATATACCCTTTATACACGGGATGACTTCTTGACCTTTGGTTTTTTTCTTATCTTAGATTTGCCTTTTCTTGTTCCCCTTACTTGGCACTGGGTTTTTTTGTACCCTTTTTAGGACCTGTTTAAAGATGAGTTGCGTTTATACTGTTTCAAAGCGTCAATGCCAATAACTTCAGGTAGAAAATATATAATTTACTTTCACTATGCCAACTGACAACAAACACTTAATGCAAAGTTGCTTTTGCAAAGCTTGCAGAGAAAAAAAGGTTTCAAGTGCCATAATTCCATACAACATAGTTGAATCGGAAATTTCTTTCATCGTGCACATCACCATTTCATGTGTTTTCACTGAAGTTATAGGTACAAGAACAATGACTTTAATTGCAATTTTTGCACATGTGTATATGATGTTCTTTTATTGTATATAGTTAAAAAATCTTAACAGCAATTAAGGAGAAGTTACGCTTAGAATTATTTTTAGAGCGGAGATTTTAGGTTTCAAGGGGGATAACTCCAGAAATTAGTCGAATTGCAACATGTTGTCTTCATATTCACCTTCATATGATGTTCAGTTCTTTCCCTGTGCCAAGTAAAAAATATTCTCACAAACAATTAGGGAAAAGTTGTGTTCTCAAGGTTATTGGAGCAGAACTACTTCAAGGTTGGTACATAACTACAGAAAGAAAAAGTCGAATTGGAAAATGCTTTCTTCAACGCATCTTCATTTGATCTACTTTCACTGTCCCAAGTGACCAATAATCCAACAAACAGTTTAAGAGAAGTTGCACTTACAAAGTTTCTGGAGAAAGAAAGTTTTCATCGCAATTACTCTATGAAAAATGATTGAATTTCGAAATTCTTTTTGTTTCACGCTTTACATATGATGTACTTTTGCTGTGCTTATTAACAAAAATAATCCAAGAAAGAGTTTAGGTGGAGCTGTGCTAGCAATTATTCTAGAGCACTCATTAAAGTTTCAAGTAACATAACTCGAGGACAAAATAGTCGAATTTCTTCTTTAGTGCAGATTTTAAGAAATTAGGCTAACAAGATTTATAAAGCAGATATTTCAAATTTCAAGAGCTTTAACTCGGGGAAAATGTTAAATTACAATGATTTCGTCATGTAAATCAACATATGATGTATTTTCACAGTGCCAAGCGACAAAGAATGCACCAAACTGCTCAGAAGAGCTGTGCTTTTATGATTTGTGGAGAAGAAATGAAAGTTTGAAGAACAAAAGTCAAATTGTAAATTTCTTTCTTCATGTACATCAACAAAAGACTTCAAACTTATTGTGTCACAATGGATGTGTCAATTTTAG